TATAATACTTCTTTAGTTTTGTAATTTTTTTTATTTCTATAGCAACCCATCACGTTTAAATATCTATTATCGTACCGAATTATTAATTGTTGAGCAAAGTGCATAATTACTTTACAACATCGAAGCTATGAAGATTTTTCTATTTATTTTCTATGATATGTTAAGTTAAGTGGCATATTTTATAATGGTAATTGCGCTGGGAGGTAAGGCACTTTGCCAGCTAAGCTTATCCTTAACAATAAGGATAAATAACAATTGCGCCAGGAAAAATCAGACCAACAAGCTTAGCTGTTGCTTGAACGTAACACGATCGGGATGCCGCATACCCTCCCCTTTACACATTCGTGCAACAAATGGATCGTCGCGGGCCGCGCAATACGATGCCCTTTCTTAAGGTTGTCCGTTGAAAGTTTTGTCTATGCTTTTAACCTTCTCCAGTTTTTAAGGTAGAAGGGGGAATGGATTCTACCAACTCATTTTTTGGATTCAGTTTTACATTAGTTAAGTTATAAACTACCGACTTCTAAGGATATAGAATCTATATTTTGTATTTAAGAAATACAAAAATTAAATTCCTATTAGATTGTTTTTTTGAATGATAGTTAGACTGAAGGTCTCAAAATACAAATGACATAATCTATTATAACAATTGAAAAATCTAGTTTATTTGACAAATTTTAGTTGACCAGCAAGAAGTTAAAGGAACTGACAAATAATTCGAATTCCGTCTTTCGTGATTCACAGCCAGTGAAACACTTCATAGTCTTCGTTGCATTCCCATTCTTTGGTTGATGTTGGTCCTTTGGCAGTGCCTTCGTCAGCACATCTGCGATCTGGTACTTTGTATTGATGTACTGAACGTCGATTCTTCTTTTCTCGGCGAGATCACGGATGAAGTTATATTTTACATCGATGTGCTTCAACCGCTTATTTTCCCAGCGATGGAGCAGTTGAATGCAGGCTTGGTTGCCCTCATTCCTTGACCTTGGACCTTGATGCTCGATTCCAAGGTCAACCAAAAGCGTCTCGATCCAGATAAGTTCCGTTGCAGAGATTGCAAGAGCAACGTACTCCGCCTCAGTAGAAAATAAGGCAACAGAGTTTTGTCTCGGCGTTGCCCACAGCACTGGGTTCTCGTGGACGAGTATAAAATATCCTGACGTCGATTTCCGGTCGCCCTCACTTCCAAAATTGGCGTCTACAAAACAGCTAACAACTGGGGCTTTGTTTTTCTTGTAGACCTGGCAGTAGTCCTGGGTTTCTTTTATGTATCGCAGAACTCGCTTCAAGCCTTTCCATAAGTGGTCCGAGTACCGACTCTGATGTCTACTGAGAAAGTTGTCGGCTGCACAGAAGTCAGGCCTTGTTGTCGTTGTAGCATATATAAGACAACCAATCAGTTCTCGAAAAGGCTTCGTTGTCTCGGTGTTTTCTTGCACCTTCTCATCTTCTTCGGTAAGCTCAAAGTTGATTTCCATGGGCGTGGCCACGGGATGACTATTTTCCATTTCGAACCTGAGAAGTTTCTCAAAGTAGTTCCTTTGGCTCAACATGAGGGTTCCTTCTTCCGGTTTCGTAATTTTCTTTCCCGGAAGGAGTTTAAGTCGCCCAGGTCCTTCATCTTGATCATCTGGTGTAAAAGTTGTCTTGATTTACAACTGATAGAAGAGTTCTCAAAGTTGTAAGACGAGCTTCTGGGGCGTAAGTTTCTTCGTAATCGAAGCCTTGTTTCTGCGCACAGCCCTTGACTACGAATCTAGCCTTGTGTCGCTCAATTTTTCCTTCTGCTTCTCTTTTGACTTTGAAGACCCACTTGCAGTCAATCGCACGTTTTCCTTCCGGAAAATCGACAATTTTCTAGGTCTTGTTTTCGATGAGAGAGTTCATCTCCTCCTTAACAGCTTGTTCCCAATCTCCCTTGCCATCACGAGTATGGATTTCCTCGTAGCTTCCAGGAACATCATCGACGAATGACTCTGCATTTAAGGCCATCATAACGTCGTCGTCTAGGCGTCGAGGTTTCATTTTTGTTTTCTCACTTCTCCTCGGAGTATCCGTAATGTTAGGCGATTTCTTCTCAGTCATTTCTTCAGCCGTCTCAGGTACGCATAATTCTTCTTCCTTTTCTTGTCGAATATCACATTTCTGCCCATGATCACATTTTGTTCTTCTAGACACCAGAGTTTGTAGCCGTTCGGACAATATCCTATCATCCTACACCGTTTCCTCCTACGATCTCTGTGGGCACCTTGAAGAAAGCAACGCATCCAAATATACGGAGATTTTCCAGGTTAGGCTTGCGGCCGTACCACAGTGTTGCTGGCACTTCTCCTCCTAACGCTGTGGTTGGGCTGCGGTTGATGAGGTATACTGCACTGAGTGAATCGTAGTCCCAGAAGCTTTTGCTGAGTTTGGAGTACAGGATCATACATCTAGCTCTTTCGACAATCTTCCTGTTCATTCTCTTTGCGACCCCGTTCTGCTCAGGCGTGTATCGGATTGTATATTCCACCTGTATTCCTTTTTCTTCGCAAAACATCTTCACTTCCTTTGAGATGTACTCTCTGCCATTGTCACACCGAAGTCTGCTCACTTTCGTGTAGAAATGTGCTGAAGCCATGGCCTCGTATGCTTTATCGAAAGGCCGCTGACTTTGCTTCCAGAGCATACGCAACAGTTAAGTGCGTGAATACATCGATCAGAGTATGCATATAACTTTTTCATCCTTGGATGTTGGCGAAATTGGTCCGAAGAGATCTGTATGTACAAGTTGAAGAGGTCTTTTTGCTCCTTGACGTGTCTGGATGTGAGGTAACTTTACTTGTTTGCCTTCGACACATGCATTACAAACTTCAGGTGCTTCCGCATTTCCTTCGAACGATATTCCATCCGCCAGTTTGGGTAGTCTTTTCAGGCTCTCATAGTTCAAATGACCAAGTCTTCCATGCCACAGCTGCAGGGTTTTCTTTTTCTCACAGAAATTTACCTCAGCCATACTCCTCCTGAATTCCAGAGTGTAAGTACAAAGATGTCTCTCCCCTCTTGGCAACTGCTCCAACTCGTTTATTCTTCCTGATACTTCCGGCTCCTCCTTTAAAGCAGATCTCGAAGCCATTCATTTCCAATCTTCTTACTGTAAGTAGATTGTGGTTTAGTCCTGGTACCGATAGCACGCGAATGCAATATCCTGTCCATTCACGACCCTGATGACTTCCAGGTCCCCGACGTGCGTGGCCTTCAGCGACATCTTTGCCTTGGCAACGTTGATCAGGATCGGGTATTCCAATTTCCTTGGGTTGATTAATTCCTCCTCGTCTCGAACCAAGTGATCTGATGCGCCGGAGTCCAAGAAGAATTGTGTTCCGTTTTCCACCACAAAGGAAGAGGCTGAAAAACAAAAATGGTTATCATCATCGTTCGCTAAATTCGCATTATAACTTTGCTTTTTCTTCGGACAATCTACACGTTTGTATCCAGGTTGACCACATGCGTAACATTTATAAGGAAAGTTGTTCGAATTATTCCTGTGACCAGTTCCATTTTTTCCCACACGTTTCCTTTTCCAGCTACAAAACCTGTCGCGCTTGGCTCGCTTTTGGATAAATTCTGAGGTTTCAGTTTCTTCCTCTTGGTTTCTTCATCTAGGAGGCGATTTTTGACGAACGAAATTTCCACGTTCTCAGCAGCCAGAGTTTCGATCGCCGTCACAACTGTATCATAGTCAGGTGGCATCGTGAGCAGCGGATGACAAACAACATCGTTTTCTTTCAGTGTGGCACCAGATTGACGCAATTCTCTAACAAGTGTATCAAATTTTAGAACAAATGAGGTTAAGATTTCACACATTGGGCTAAATTTAGTGGTCAACAGTTTTTTTCTTGTTAATAATTTACTTGAGATTCCTTTACGCTCAAAAATAGATTTCAAGGATCTTGTCGTTGGCATATTCCAAGTGGCTGTCGGCAATCCTCTGTATTATTTGGGACTTGCACTTCCGATCGAGCCGTTTCAGTTTTTTCACCTCGGTTTCCGATTCCGCTTCATCTATGAGAGTTTCCAGCGACGTATCCGTAAATTGTATGAGATCAAGTTCACCCAGCAATGTTTCCATTCGGAATTTCCAATTCCCGAAATTACTGCCTTCGAATAGAGGAACGCGATACCGCGTCTCCGATTCCTCAGACATTTTTTAAGTCCAAAAAATGTTTCAAGTTCCACGCCCGACTATTTTTCCGACTCACCAGTCACCAATTCTGCGTAATACCTCGTGTTTCCAAGAAACGAAGTTTCTAGTACATTCCAAGTGACGCTACACCGGTCACTTTATTCCGAGTTCGCGTATTACACCAATTCCGCGTAATACCTAGTGCTTCCAAGAAACGAAGTTTCTAGTACATTCCAAGTGACGCTATACCGGCCACTTTATTCCGAGTTCGCGTATTTATTCCACTTCACTCAAGCAATGGTTACTGGGCCCATAACCTCATGAATTCTATGATGCTGTGTTAAACAACTGGAGTCAATAATAGCTTTCTTTTATTAAATTATATTCCGAGAGCTTTCGTAGCGTCTTGTTTACATTTCCATTTCAAAGAGTGAAGTGTTACTTTATATTTAAATCCAAAGTATATCGAAAACTGAACGTCTAAAAAGCGGCACGCTTACTAACACTAAATTGTCGTGCATCATTCTCACTATTAAACAGCTCTGATTCAAAGTTCGGTCAGGAAATGACAATTAATTCCTCTTCAGGACAGCACTCCCCAAGGGACCACCCACCGGAGCTCAGTCCTCCTCCAAGGTTGGACTTCCGAGACAAGAATAGCTTCTAACTTGACTAGCTTTCTCTATTTGACCTAACATTATACCTAACGTCCTTATAACCTGAACTACACGATTTTACTCACCTATATTATATTTAGTTTACGAATAACAAAGTCCTTCTCATATTATTACCACTATAAATTATTAGTTTAGTTCCCGAAAATAACTTAACTTACCAAATGCTTCCAAAATGGTGTTGGCCTCCAAAATTTGTTGTTGCACCCAAGAAGAAACGTTTGATGTAATTGTGCATAAATACTGCAGTATAAATTTAGTTGTCTCGGTTTTTCCAGCTCCAGATTCTCCAGATATAACACATGCCTTTAAATATATGACAAAAAAATAATCCAGTTTCTTAAATTATGTGTACTATTTAGAAATACATTTATATCTAAGAGGGTACGACTTAGAAGCTACATAAGCGGGTTGTCCTAAACATAAAACGGCATATCTCATACAAATACCATATACATATATCAATCTGACAGATGCCGGGTGGTTTTAGAGTAGACACCGATTTATGATATTTTAATTTTTTGGAAGCGAATGTTTTCATTTTTTGCATATTTATCGCCAATTATCGTCGCCTTATACATATATGCTCTAATATATTACTTCACAGTCTTCGTCTATCTCTCATCGCGAGCAGTCATCTCTCGTCGTAAGCCGATACCTTTTTTTCAAAAGTGGTTCCCGAAGCTTCTACCACGTGGTTCTCTTCGTGCGCAGACGTCAGTGCCTGTTTTCTTTCGTGGCCTCGTTCCACACGGTTATCCGCTAAAATAGTTCCTTTATATTTTTTCTCCAGTGCCAGTTTTCAAGCCTAAACTTAACAGTCTCAAGCTATTGAAACCATGCCCCCTGGGCCCCCTAACTTAGGGGATAATCGCTTTGCATGGCTTAGCGATAGCCCCAAATTAAAAAAAAAGACCTTTCCAAAAACTTCAAGAGGTGTTCCCAAAACTACCCGAAACAACAAAAGAAAATCCAAAGTTTATCATCATATCTTCCAAAAACACAAGCAAAAAAAATTTCCGAGTTTTCTTGCTTTGCTGTTAACCGTGCGTTAAATATTATAAGCAAAGAAATTCTGTCCATCTCCACTCTTCGGGATGGCAACCTTTTAATGCTCGTTAAAAACAAAAACGCTGCCGGCAAATTCACGAAAATAAACAACCTAGCAGGATTATGCGACATCGAGTGCAAATTACATGAATCCCTCAACTTTGTTAAGGGAACCATCTCCGCCCCTTGTCTAATAAACATCCCCGAAGACGAAATTGTTAAAGAACTGGCCAGCCAAAACGTTCACTCGGTTTTCAAATTTACCAGGAAAGTTGACGGGACCCCAAAACCCTCTGGAGTTATTCTTGTAACCTTCGATCTCTACAACCTACCCAGCAAACTTGACATTTCATGGCACACCGTCAAGTTCAGGGAGTACTTCCCCAACCCTATGAGGTGCAAGACCTGCCAAAAACTGGGCCATACAGCCAAATTTTGCAAAAACTCTCCTACTTGCGAAACGTGCAACTTTCCCCCCATACCCCATCCCCTTGCTCACGAACCCAATGCACTAACTGCTTAGAAGAGCATGCTTCCTCTGCTCCCTCTTGTCCACGATACCAACAACAAAAAGAACTAATAAAAATCAAAACAACAAGAAAATGCAGTATAAGAGAAGCTAGATTACTTCTCAAACAGCAAACTCCTTCCATAATTACATCAACCAACTACGCACGTGTTTTATCCAACAACGGCCCTACTAACAAAACAAACGACCATAGCAATGCTCATCTAAGCACTGCCAACATCACCAACCACTCTCAAGAGACTGCCCTCCCGGTCTCTCAGCAACAACCTCTTTTATACACTCCTTCCTCAAGTAAGACAAAAACTTCCAATACAAAGAAAGATACCAAAACACTCACTCGCTCCTCATCCACTCTCTTGACATCTAGTGCTCCCAGCGTTAGCTCGGACCAACAACACAACTCTACGATTTGCGACAATCTCACTGCACGCATAGAACATAGCCGCACTATTAGAAGTGTAGCCGATAAGTTAATACATGATATGAAATCCATCTCTCCCACAGACACCGCCTCTGACTCTGACTCTTAATAGCTCACTTTGACTCCCTCTAACCAAAACTAAAACAAATTCCTCTAACATGGTCATTAATATCTTACAATGGAACATTAATGGTATCTTCAATAATTACCACGAACTTAAATTACTCATAACCGAATTTTCTCCTGATATTCTGTGCCTTCAGGAGACTCACTTGCCACATCATTTTTCAAATTTTCAATTCCCTAAGGGCTATAAAGGGTATTTCCTGAACTACCCCTAAAACACATACGCAAAACAAGGAGTAGCTATACTCATAAAAGAACACATTCCACACTCAGAAATCAACATAAACTCTGACCTCCTTTGCAACGGTATCAAGCTGGAACTCCCAAACATAATTACAATCTTAAACATGTACATTCCTCCGTGTCAAGGTTTTTCTAGCAACGATTTATCCTACGCGCTAAGCCAAATTACCGAACCTCTTCTGCTTCTAGGAGGCTTCAACTCCTGGAGCCCTATGTGGGGTTCTCCAAACTCAAACTCCCGTGGGAAAAAAATAGAACAAATCATATTTTCTAACAACCTTGTTGTTCTCAACAATGGTTCTGGAACTCACCTTTCCACTCACAATTCTCTGACTCATGTTGATATATCTTTAATATCCCCCACAATAGCGCACCGCTGCAGTTGGTCCCTCAGTGACCAATTGCACGGCAGCGACCATTTCCCCATTTTCATTGCCTATTCCCAAATAAAAAACCGACCTAGCCAACTGGGAAAAGTTTAGTAAAATCTGCGCTGAACTTGAAGCAATATGGGCTCCTGGTTGCTTAAACCTCCAGGTCGCTCTTCTCTCCGAAAGTATCAGAGCTGCTGCCAACTCCTCCATCCCTCAAACAAAGCGCATCCCGCATAAAGCAAAAATCCCCTGGTGGAACCCCCAGCTACAGCAGCTTAGGGACTCCAAACAAAGACTTTTCCATATTTTCAAATCCCAAATGACCACATCTAACCTCTTAAACTACAAAAGAGCTAATGCCCTTTTCAAGAAGACAGTGCTTCTCGTAAAGCGCAAAGCTTTCGAAATCTTCACCTCCCAAATCTCCCCAGCCTCCTCCTGTAAAAAGATATGGTCAGACATTAAACGCCTCTCTGGGTCCCCCCCCAGTGATCATCAAATGCATCAAATCAGACAACAGCTTATTGACTGATTCCCTAGCCATTGCTGAAAAATTCAGCAAAGTCTGGTCCAAATATGGTGCGGATGATAACTTTAGCAGCGAATACATAGCCCGTAAAGATTCCTACCTTTCATCATCCTACAATCCCACTGCCTTATCACCAACAGCATAATCTCTGGATTCTCCTTTTAACATGTTTGAATTCGAAACGGCCCTTCATGCAGCCGTAGGTAAAACTCCCGGTGCCGATAGAATCTCCTATCCCATGTTAAGGCACACCCCACAAAGCCTTAAACAACGTATCCTGGACATTTACAACTCCATGCTGTCCACAGGCAGTTACCCTCACACATGGAGATCCTCCACAGTCATTCCCATTCCTAAGCCAAACAAAAATCCATCCACAATAAACGGGTTTCACTTTTGGGATCACTTTTGATTCCAGGCTTAGCTTTAAGGAACACTGTATTACATTAAGAAAACAACTCGAATCCCGAGCTAAAATAATCAAATTTCTCAGCTCCAAATTCTCACACATACACCCTAATATTCTAACCAACCTAACCCGTATCCTCATCCTTTCCAAAATTGATTACGGCCTACCAATCTACGGCTGGTGCGCAACATCCAACTTGAAGAAAATCCAACTTTCATATTACTCATCAGCTCGTCGTTCAATTAATGGATTCCCAACATCTCCAATACAGTGCGTTCTGGCTGAAACAGGATTACCAAGCATTTTCGATCGTTTAGAAAGGACCACAAAGAACCTTATTCCAAAGCTACTCACTAGCCCTAACCGATCGCTAGTAAAAGATTTTATATCTACTTTTAGGAAAAACGGAAGCCCAGAATTCTCTCAACTCTTCATAGATGCTCCAGCTTCACGGATTTGCTGGGCCTACCACCGCCCAAACAAAAAACAAACACCCACCTCCTCCCACCTTGGAAACACATATCTTCTGAAATAAACAAGCAACTACATCACTACACTAAAAGCGAAACACCTAAAGAAGTCTTCCAATCAGAATTCGCACTTTTGAAAAGCCAATTGGGCCAAAGGAACTGGCTTTATTCCGACGGCTCTAAAACAACGCGGACATCATCATTCGCTGTTGTGAACAGTGACAACGTCATTTTATCCGGCGGAACCCTTCCGAGCTTCAGCTCCATATTTACCATCGAGGCCTTTGCTGGTCTACAGGCCTGCCGACTCGCTTCCAACTCCAAAGGGAAATTTGTCATCTGCTCGGATAGCCTCTGTACTATTTCTGTTTTGGAGAACCACAGGCACCCTGACCCAACAATACGTGATATACAAAAGTTAATCGCCAAATACAAAACAAAAATTAGAATTGTCTGGGCTCCTAGCCACCAGGGAATTCTCGGAAACGAGCATGCCGACTTTGCTGCCCGATACATGAGCACAGCACCAACTATTCAGTTTTCGCCCATTAATACCAATGACATCAAAAGGCTGATAAAAATTGATACCGATCAAAAACAACTTATGAATTGGAATGCCTATAACCACAGATACAAATCGATAAATCCATCTCGCGAAAAAACCTCATTTTCTACTGGTCTCAACAAATACGAACGCACTCTATACACCCGGCTACGCATAGGACACACCCAGGAAACTCACGAACACCTTCTACAAGGCTGCACTCGTCCGGCATGCCGGTTATGCGGTGGTAACCTTTCCATAGATCACTTGCTTGACTCTTGCCCGGTAGTAGGGAACACGCGTAACTCAATTTTTGGAACATCCCTCCCATCTTCCCTCCTTTTATCCCCTACAAAACCTAATATACAAAAAAAAATTACACGAATTCATTAGTAAAATACAACTCCGACTGTAAAATAATATAATACTATAAATATCTTTATATCAGGCCGAAGGACTTAGTATCCAGTGCCTTACATTACATTAACTTTAGTATTAAATACTAGATTTAATTTGTTAAAATAAAAAAAAAATATTACTTCAATAAAAACGACTTTCTTCTAACGGATTCCATTATATTGCAGTCGCCACTTACTTTATTAAGATAGCCA